ATAATTACTTCATATTGCTGAGGAACATAACAACCCACAGTTATGAATAAGGACTCCCCCGTGACCAGGTGCTGTATGATTCAAAGGCAACATCTCACAGACCCTAAATCTGAAACCCAAACAATTAGTCAACCCAAAGCAGGTGACAATAATTTCCCAGTTAAGATATTTTTCATCCTCTCAGGTGAACTGATACTGTGTACATTCAGTTTCCTTCCCTTGTATTTCAGAGAGACCACTGGAATGGTCCTGGATGATGCCAGAGGTAAGCAACATGCAACTACTGGCCCTTCAGGTCTTTACTGAAATTACATTTGCATCTTGCACAGTTATTTCCTAAATCATATATGAAGTGGGGACACTGTCATTTATATTCATTAAGGGGTAATCCATTCTAGTGCTGATGTTCCTGCCTGGGGAGACAACAATTTTCTGTAGGTATTTCAGGACAGAGTTGGCCACTTGTGTCACCTCAAGTGAATTCCTACAAGAGCCAGAGACAGCCCCCCAGGTATTCCTGACCTCAGCCCAACAACTGCAGGTGAAACATTTTTACATGTATCTGCTGAGAAGTGCACAGGAAAGTTGAAAGTCAGTATGAGAGGACAGTACAGAACTGACAGTTTCTAAACACATGCAGTTTGTTGCATCTTCCCTATATGAGAATATATTAAGCTTATGATGACTGACTTTAAAAATACCAGGTTCCAGGGACAGCTGACACTGAACACAGTCCACAATCTTTCATCGCTCAGTTCAAACGCAAAATGAAATTCACGGTTTAGCCCTTAATTCCTGAAGCTTGGACACATTTTTTCAAAGTGATGCAATTGCATAACACAAACAAGATGACTGCCAGAAACTGTGATTGAAACTTCTCTAGTGTCTGATTGACTCTACTTGTATTATCAGGCCCCAGCTTGACATGTGCCTGAATTGTTGAATGCCAGATGAGAGGGAAGGTGTCAGGGATAATGCAAATATTTTTATTAAGCTGTTGAAGTGTTTTTGACACAACAACAGTAACATCATACCTTTAAAAATGCCACACTAAAAATTATGGTGAAGTTTATCTATCACACAAGATGCATTCAGTAACAGGAATATCTTTATACATAAAAATTCTGAGGTTCATCTTGATTTGCAACAGAGGAATAATAAATAATAAACAAAAGGAAGACAAGTAATTCCAGTGAGCACACCAATAATTGGACAAGTCTGGGAACAACTGTTAGGCCAGTTGCAAAGACGTGAACTTAAAAAATAATTTCTATTGCCAAACAGGGAGCTTGCCTTTTCTTTGAACTCCAGGGGAAATGAGGATAAACTAGTTATTATAAAAGATGATCATTTAGTATCATCATAGCACTTTCTAAAAATCTAACCAACAAGCCAAAACATGAGCTAAAGCTAGCTATTTACTTCCCAAAATATAACTATGTTTAGCTCCAAACAAATACTTTCACATACAGGGCTGAAAAAAGATCAGAAGGTATAGCAGCTATTTTGAAACCTACATTTCCATCAAACATCTTAGTTTATTTATATATACCTCACTTTCCTTGAAGTAGTGCCCACACAAGCAGCATTTCCCACTTTGGAGAATAACCATTAATTTCACACCACAATGTTTTTTCTAGAATATAATTACACACAAGACAAGTATTTTTTATTAAAATATCTGAAGGCATGTAAGGTAGTTATGACTGGTAGTTACTCAGGAGCACAGGGTTTTTTATTTTTTTTTTCCCCTTTTCTTTCCTTGTTTGCCTGCTAATAAGAGCTTTGGAGACATAAAGCAGTGACTTGATCCCAATGCATTTTAACACTGTAGTAAATAATGCAGTGAGGTATGGAATAATTAGGCTGAAACCGTTCTGTGTAAGACAACTATTCTAACATATGCTTGACATCAACAAATGCATTCTGCCAGGGCCTAGCACATTGTGAATGAATTGTGACATTTTCTTATGATTAATTATTTTAAAATAATCTCTAACTTCTTCCTTCTACTTGTATTTTTATAGAGTAACTGGGATGTACATTTTACAAGTAGTCGAAGCTCCTAGTATCCCATAATTTGGAAAATGAATTATTCTTACAGACATAGCCACGTCCAGATCCAAAAGCCTATGTCAAAACAAAATGCAACTGAATCTGTTCCTGATGTTCTTCCTGTTGCTTTCTCCCTGCTTCTGCTTTCATCCTACAACTCATGGGTTTTCCCTTTTTTTGTCTCTTCTGATCATATACCCAATATAACACACCATGTGGTGGTGGCCAGTCTCTTCGCGAACGAAGAACCGGGGAAGGTCTTTCCACCTTCCAGCCTGCGCATTGGATTTTTTAGGTGAGACACAGTGTGCGCGGAACTGAGCCCACCCTTTAATCCTGAGGTTCATCTGCCGGGGCCAAGC